GGTGGGGGTTGGTCTCTTCTCCCAGGCAGCCAGCAGTAAGACAAGAGGGCACGGGCTTAAGCTCTGCCAGGGAGGTTTAGGTTGGATATTAGGAAGAAATTCTTTATAGAGAGGGTAATCAGGCATTGGAATGAGCTGCCCAGGCAAGTGGTGGATTCCCCATCCCTGGAGGTTTTTAAGATGAGACTGGATGTGGCACGTAGTGCCATGGCCTGGTAACCACAGCAGTGTTGGGTCAAGGGTTGGACTTGATGCATCTCAGAGGTCTTTTCCAACCCGGCTGATTCTATGAGTCTATACTGCAGCTTCATTCAAGTAAACACTACTTGAATTACCATGATTCATAAAAGTTTTCTGCTTGTCTTACACAGCTTTGTTCTAAAACGTGATTGCTCTCAATGGGACTACTTGCCTTAGATCTCTCCTTGCTTCAGAGGAATCAAAAATCAGGTAATGCACCCAACCCCCCTAGTTTTGCTGCCCTCTCTTTCCTTGAACTCCTACTACACATCGGCGATCTTTCCCCGTCGCTCGCCCTGCGGCAGGACTTTCCCTTCGCCGGGGTGCGCTGGACTTTGCGTGCAGATCCATTTCCGCGCACATTCATTTCCGCGTCGGCCGCCGCCGTCTTTTGGCTCCGCACGTCCCACCTTCCCTGTTCCCTTTCTCCTCCGGACGGGAAGGGAGCGAAGGACCCCCTCCCCACGAGCGCCAGCAGCGCCCTCCGGGCAGCGCTGCCACGCCACGGGTGCCCGTGGGGCCCCTCTCCCCGCAGCCCCTCGCAGACATCCCCATCCCGCTCCTCCGCCGCGCCGCTGGCTCCGGCAGGATCCCCCACCCCCATCCCCTGCGCCTTCCCCGCCGCCCACCCACCTGCCGAGAGCTCCGGTTCCGACATGATCGCGGACAAAGGAACCGCTGATCGAGCCGAGCCGAGCCGAGCCCAGCCGTATCCTTCCTTCCCGTGCCGTGCCGGAGTTAGCCCGCCCCTCTCCGTACGGGGGCGGGCATTTGTCGCCCTTGGCTCCGACCCCGCCTCCGCAAGAAACGGGGCGAGCCACGGGGGAGGTGTCCGTGGCGGGGGAGGTGTCCGTGGGGCGGGAGGCAGCCGGGAGAACCGACGGTGATGTGTCAAAGTGTGCCTCAGCGGCTGTGCTTGAGTAACTGCGCCGCCGTAGACAAAGTCATCGTCCTGAAGCGTGGTGAGAAGCTCCTGTATTTCCTAGGTGGAGGTTTTTCAAAACTGCCCTTACGGGCTTACGGGGGGCTTTCTGTTCCTGTCAAACTCCTGCTCCTCGAAATGCATTTTCTCTATTCTTGCAACGGCTCTCTGTGACGATTTCAGAACTGTGAGGAGCGTGACAAGATATTGAAGAGAGTTCCGAAGTAGTTTAATCAGTCCCAGTATTCCCAACCGGTTAATTACATGCATTACTGTTCGCTGGATCAGTTCCATAAGACACAAGTTTCTAAACCAAAGCCAGTGACACAAAAAACCCCAAAACAACAACCACCATCACCGCCACCAAAAAATCCCCAAACAACAACAAAAAAACCCAAACCAAACCAAAACAAAAAAACTAAACAACAAAAACAAACCAAAACAACCAAAAAAAAACCTCCCCAAAAATGTATAAGAGCTTTACAGTTTTGTACAGTGGAGGGAACTGAATTTTCTATCCAGTGTATTTCTAGGCAGGGTCTAGGATAAACTCGGGTGTGAATATGCACTTAGAAGTGGCTGCTACAAGCACAAAAGGCGGCAGATTCAGAGTGGGATTTTAAGCGTTTTTACCCAGTTCGTTTGGTCTCGTTTTCCACAGGTTTCTTGCACGGGTAAATCTTTTAGACAAGATGTCTCCTCTTTTGGTTGAAGAAGCCACAGGTATTTCTACTTACCTTTGCTTATTTTTCCGCTTGTTTAAACTTGTTACCTTCAGACTGCCAAAAGGCAGCTGGATCGAGATAAAACAGTTGCTTAAATTGTCTTTGTGTTTACTTTAGTTAGAACATGGTATTATTGTCAGACTTTTGTATCTTCCCCTGTGTAACATTTAGACTCCTATCAAGCAGATTCTTTTTTTCTTTTTTTTTTTGCAACTGCTAATCCCAGCTCTCTCTGCTCACACTAGGGAATCCTGTGCGAAGCAGCAGCTGTAGAACCTAAACCTAGGACTCTGTAAGAGCTTTGTGTTCAGCAGTTTGAACTCGTATCAGCCATGTTCCTCAGTCCAACAGTTTGCTCACATCCTAACAAGACATACTTTTTGTCTGCTTTGTTTTGCTGGAGGCTAAGAGCATACTCAGTCAGATGCCGTGTTCAGATGACTCACCAGTAACTTGACCGCAATGTATAAAGCCTAAGGTAGCATTTGGCTGGTGTGAATTATATGCAAGTTTTTTGTTACACGTCTGTATGAGTTTTGAGGCGTATGGTTTGAAACACTTTCGGATTGTTGCAGTAGCTCCACCTTAAGTGGGTAATTTTTGGGAAGAGCATTGTGGATGGATTAGAACTGCAGTCGGAAGAAGGAAGTTTGTGCTTACCACCAATCAGCATATGCCCAGCCAGTGATCAGTGCCGCTCCCTGGCCAACTACCCCTCCCACCCCTCCCGGTTTTATCGTTCAGCATGATTCCATATGGTGTGGGATATCCCTTGGGTCATCTGGAGTCAGCTGTCCTGGCTGTGTCCTCTTCCAACTCTACTTGT